AACCATTCAATGGAAGAAAACCTGAAGATGAACTCTGGACAGATATACAAAACACACATCAATGTTCTTCATTATTACATCATTAACTATTTGCCCTCCAGAGGATTCCCCCCCCCCTTCCTGACCAGGCCATTGTTTGTGATATGGCGCTACATTACTTTCACTGACAATTGCACGGTCATGCAACGCTGCACCCAAATGACATTTATGGCCTTTTTTTCCCCCACAAATAGAGCTTTCTTTCGGTGGTATTTGATCGCCTGTGCATTTTTATTTTTTTGCGCTATAAAAAAAAAAAAGGCCGCCAATTTTGAGAAAAAAAACAATAATTTTGACTTTTTGCTATTAAACATGTCCAGTAAAAAAAAATAAAATTTTGTCATAAATTTAGGCCAAAATGTATTCTGCTCCATATATTTGCTAAAAAATAAAATATTAATACTGTATGTGTAAATTAATTGGTTTACGTGAAAGTTATAGCATTTACAAATGGCGGCATATATACTGGAATTTTTTTTCTTACTAGTATTGGCAGCGATCAGTGACTTATAGTGGGACTGTGGTGGGCATTCTGACACTGGGGGGGAACTGACTTGATGTCACTGACATCTCCAGTGACACCAATACAGTGATCAGTGCTAATAAAAAGCGCTGACACTGTACTAATGGCACTGGGCAGGGAGGGGTTAACAGGCGGGCAGATCAAAGGGTTAACTGTGTGTTTTGAGAATGTACAGTCATACAAAACACGTCAAGGAGTAGCCTGCATGCCGTGATGTCACGCCGCCGGATCACGGAGGTCTGGTGGCCATTTTGGAACTCCAGCTGGTCAGTTTACTCAGCAGCTTTATGCTGCATGTACTATCTACCTTAGCCTATGTATGTAAATATATGGCTTTTTAACCTTGAATATCATTAAAGTCACACCAAATTACTACACTATAGGAATATTCCTTTTTTGCTCTGCACTGAGCGCTTAATTCCCTAGAAACTCCTTGGTGACCATCCCAGTGCCTGGAAGAGGTTTATCCACTGTGTCACAACCTATCCTTAAAGGGGACCTCTGACTACCATCCTATAATCCAGATGAAGGCCAGCTAACTCAGGCTGCATCCGGTTCCACCTTAGAAGGGATTCCTGGCAGACCATCATTTACTTTATACACTGCGCTTTATAAATGCGCATCTGGTGAGTGGGCATTTTATCTATACCCCGCACTTCACCGGAACACTGTATCATGCACAGCTGGGAACAACAGAGTCACCTTGGTTATAATGAGTGAAAGCTTTGATGTTTATTTGAGCTGTGATCACATCCATTTGAACTTTCACTTTTATTTATTGTATTAGAACAATTCATTAACGCACATATTTGAATTATCAATCGGACACCCTTTTGATTTGTTTAAGATATATTTATTCTTGGTATTTTTAGCGCTGCACAATTATTTTATTCATTTCTTTGAAGGCATATGGTTTTCCTTTTTGTGCAATAGATGCTTCTTTTATTGAGCGCTTGCTGAGTCCTTTTTAACTGTGTGCTGTTTCACTATGGGGGCTGTGTGTGCTTTACGCTGTAAGCACACTGCTTTGTATGGCTGTACAAAAGCAGTGTGCAGGAGCTGACAGGGGAGACATCTGTGTTGTTGTTTACATGCAGGTCTCTCCATCATTGGAAATACTCGGAGATCACCGGCGAGGAATCACTGGCCAGGACCTGGTGATTGACAGCCAAGGCCACGATTGGAGGTTAGAGTAGGGCGCACATGCCCCCTACCCGGAATGGCAAAATCATGTGTGTGTATATATATATATATATATATATGTGTGATTTTGTGCACCAGTTCTTACCTGTAGCAGTATTTCTGAAGTTAAAGAGGAATCCCAGATATGGATATTTGTATATAGTTACATTGTTCCAACTAACAAATAGGTTGCGCTATCCCTTTAAGTGAATTGTTAATGCTAAACAGTGAAACCAAAATTCAGTAACAAATTATTACACAATATATGAATATATGAGAAAAATATGAAAAGTCTACAGTATATAAGATAAATGTGCTATGTATTCACACGTGGCCACTTCAGTGTTTCCACCACCATGGAAATAGAAGCCTCTTACCAGAAGCTTAAGACCCCATAAACAAAGGTCATAAACGCACATGAAGCATCCTGAGGATCCCATGAATCAACCAACACACAATATGAATAGTCATCTCTGCATGGTCCAATGCACAAACCACCGCACACTCCTCAGCAATATAATAAATAAGATATGGAGAGCATAGAGTCCATAATGTGAGCCTGTATGGGTACAAGTTGTTAAGCAAAAACAATTAAGGGTCCTCACAAAACAGAAGAGAAGTGTACAGTGCGTAAACTCAGAGATGCTGCCAGTTGACCTGCGTGATGATGTCGACCTCCAACGTCAAGGGTTGGAGCATGACAGTAGTGGCAGCAGTCAAGCACTGGATTAATGACGTCACCTTGTGACAAAACATTCCGGATGAAGCTTAGCAGGTTGACGTCATCAAGCACGCAACCCGGCAAGCAGCCTCTCTGAGTTTACATACTATATAGTTCTTTTCTGTTTTTTGAGTACAGTTACTACTACAGCCATTCTCAACCAGGGTTTTACGTTTCCTCCAGAGGTTGATAGTGATTCCTTGAGCTGTGGTTGATTGATCTCCCATTTGATGGTGCCTGCATAGTTATGGGGCCAACTCTACTAGGCAAAGCCGGGTGCATGAAGCCAATGATCTTTTTTAGCTTTCTGTAGGGGTTGCATTCTGACCACCACTGTAAGGGTTGCCCTCTTCTTGAGATATTTGTTTTTTTTTTTTTGGACGTGATATAAGATCTCACTTTCAGATAGAACAAAAGGATCATTGGCTAAAAAATTTACATTTTCCTTGGTGGGGGTTGATGACAGTGGTTGTTTGGTGGAAGTGTTGATTAGAGTCCTGATATTGTGAATGCCTTCAAGGACCAAATTTTGAGAATGGGTAGACTTGTAGATTGAGGAAGATCAGGATTCTGCCACAGTTGAAGGCCAAGCGAGGTATGACTGCTCGAAATGCATTATTTCATGCATGACTTTATTCCAGGGCAAGCCGGTTTGTCAGGAATGGATTCACCACTGGTGGTGGGACTCACCTGCCTTGTGGGCTGCAGTACCAGGGCTGGCCAGCGGGTGCTCTCAGCAGCCAGAAGCTCACTCCTGCCATCAAGCCATCACCTGAGGCTGATTGCAGGAGGTGTATTTAAGGAATGGCCAGGCCTGCAGTCAGTGCCTTGGTGTATTGTTCCCATGAGCCCCTGTACCTGCATCCTGCCTGCTTCCTGCCTGATCCTGACTTTGCTTTGATCCTGACTCTGCACGAACTCTGCCTGTACCAACCTCAGCTATTCCTGACCACTCTTCCGCCTGCTCCTTGTACCTTGTCTGCCCGTTTGCTACCGACCCGGCCCGCCTGACTACGTTTGGTGTTGTACATATTATCTATTGGAGGTTTGGTTTGTTTGCACTGTGTTTATGTTAGCCTTTAATAAATTGTATTGTTTTATACTATGCCTGAAGTCTGCGTTTCCCTGTGTCAGTCCACACATCTCTGGTCATACCCGGATCCCTGACACCATTAATATATAAGAGAGGATCCAGGAGCATTTCCTGAGGAAAAAGCTCTTTATAAAAAGGCAGAGCATATAGCGAGTTGGTGTGAAGTAGCATGGTTTGGTCAAGGCATGAATAGGTATATGCTGAGGTGTCATAAATCCAATCCCTTTTAATATATTAAAGGAAGCTGAAATATAAAAGTCATCATCAGGCATACTAATGTGTATCTAAACCCAAAACCAGAAATGTAGTATTTTGTAAGTTGCTAGTTCTTGGTGTGTTGGCTGCATTTGTTTTCTTTTTTTAACCATCTTTCTTTTATTTCCACCTGGTAATCCTGCACTTTCTGTCCCTGGGTAGCTATGTCACTTTCCCACTGTATCTATGGAGGGGGGGGGGGGACCATGGTTGTCACCCTAGGTTGCTCTCCTGAAATCAACTACAAACATGTCAATATCTCTTCTTCTCCATTACATGGGGGCAATATAACCCTACATGATATATTAATGGACACCAAGCTACATTAATCTGTATTTTACATTTGATTAGAGTTTGGCTTTAACACCTACACTGTAAATTACTATTCCTGTTTGATCTGTATCAATTCTAGCAATAACTAAACTGATAGCCTATCAGCTAGACCAGGGGGCTCCAAACTTTCTACGCAAAGGGCCAGTTTACTGTTCTTCAGGCTTTAGGGGGGCGGGACTGTGGCCAGTGGGAGTAAAAAAAGCCCTGGCATCAATGCCTCATTAATGATTTTAATAGTGCCCCAATGTTGATATCAGTGAGAAGAATAGCCTCCCATTGATGGTGTCGGTAGAGGGAATGGTGCCCCATCATTGAGTCAGTTGATGGAATAGTGCTCCAAGGGCCAAATAAAGGAAAGCAAGGGGCCACATCCGGCTTATAGGACACAGTTTGGAGATAACTGAGCTTGACTCTTGGGCTAAACACGCCCCAAGTTGAGGACCAGCACAACAGAATGTTGCCATGATCTTCTATCTACATTACTGGCGTGGTTGGTCTATGCAAAGATCTTTGTAACAGTCACTTAAAAGTATATCTTCATTTTTGTTCTCTTTATTAGGAGATCTTTATAGGATAAAGAATCTTCTTTTGAATGAGCTCCACAGTATGTCATTCCATGTTTCACAAACTTGTCACCAGTCACTACTTTTATGTTTTAGTAAAAACCAGCACTGGATGTGCCTCCTATCCCGCTCCTGTGCCACCTCCATTGGGTGTTCTCTCGAGTTCCTGAAACTAAGTAAATTGAGGGTTATGAGGATGTGCCCTGCCTTCTTCCCATTGTTTGTTATGACAGTGCTGGAAACACAGGCAAACCCTACTACGTGTTTATATTTGTTATATTGCACATACTTTCAGGATAACATTGGCATACCCTTAGTCCTTCTGTTCATGGCTTGTTTCCTCCGACACAGCAAACTGTAGACATATGTCTGATATTGGAAAGATGCATAATAGTAGATAATAGGATTAAGGCAACACCTGATGTTACTCATACTGGCTGAAAGGATGTAGGTGAAGTTCAGAGAGTCATCACTGTATCTATACATCTTCAAGCAGTAAGCAAAAAAGATGACGTTGGTTGGGCCGAAGGAAAGGGCAAATACAAAAAGCACAACAGCGGTCAAGTAGACGGCTCGGGATCTCCAATGGGTGCGGTCAACCTTGGTCTGACAGAGACTACAAATGGTTCCAATGTAACACCAAGTTATAATAAACAAAGGTAGGACAAAGAAAATTAAACGGTAAGCAATGAAATAGTGAAAACTAAAGCCTTCAAACTCGTTAGCGTCTTGAACATCAAAACAAGTTGTTATATTTAGTGCAGTAATTGGGAAGGTAAGTCTATGTGTGAGAAGAGGCACGGTGCCAGCGAATGAAATGACCCAGATGACACCACACACCGGCCAGGCACGGTTTACCGTGCGCCAAGAAAGAGACCGTATTGGATAGACTACCGCCAGGTAGCGGTCCACGCTGATACTTGTCATGAACAGGATGGAGCAGTATTTGTTGCAGTAAAATGATAACGTGACGAAGCGACACATCCATTCCCCCAAGAGCCAATTGTTTCCCATGAATCGGTAGACAATGCGGAAAGGCAGGATGCAAACAAAGAGGACATCTGCTGTGGCGAGGTTAAGCATGTAGACCACTGCCGGCTTCCTGACCTGCATCTTGGCCAGGAACATGACGATCGCCATGAGATTGAGAGGAAGAGCCAATAAAAACACAATGGTATGGATTGATGGTACGAACTTGGTCAACCACCAACTTCTGAGTGAAAGGTCTTCATTTTCTGAAACAATGTTGTATTCTACGTAAGACGAGTTGTGAAAATTTATGGTCCACATACGATGCACATCTGAAAAATTGAAATCCAAAGTATTAGTATAAATAATAGAACAAGATGCATCTATCGATAGTCCATACATGATTAAACATAATATTAATAAATAAATAAGTAATATTTCACAGAGGTTCTGGAGAGAAAGGTTCTGAAAAACAAGGATTGGAAATGTTCCTCAACCACTCAGAACCTGAATAACAGAGAAGCCAGATGTGCATTGCTTGGGATAACCTAAAGTGACTCTAACACTAACAATCTGTAACCCTCTCACTAACCCTCACACTAACCCTTCCAGTAACACTAGCAATAACCATCATGTAACCCTAATACTAACCCTCCCTCTAACCTTAACACTAACCCTACTAGTAACCCTAACACTAACCCTACTAGTAACCCTAATAATAACCCTCCCTGTAACCCTAACGCTAACCCTACTAGTAACCCTAAAACTAACCCTCCCTGTAACCCCAACACTAACCCTCCCTGTAACCGTAACACTAACCCTACTAGTAACCCTAAAACTAACCCTCCCTGTAACCCCAACACTAACCCTCCCTGTAACCCTAACGCTAACCCTACTAGTAACCCTAAAACTAACCCTCCCTGTAACCCCAACACTAACCCTCCCTGTAACCCTAACACTAACCCTACTAGTAACCCTAATACTAACCCTCCCTGTAACCTTAACACTAACCCTACTAGTAACCTTAACACTAACCCTATTGGTAACCCTAACACTAACCCTTCCAATAAACCTAACAATAACCATCATGTAACCCTAATACTAGCCCTCCCTGTAACCCTAATACTAACCCTCCCTGTAACCCTAACACTAACCCTACTAGTAACCCTAATAATAACCCTCCCTGTAACCCTAACACTAACCCTACTAGTAACCCTAATAATAACCCTCCCTGTAACCCTAACACTAACCCTACTAGTAACCCTAATAATAACCCTCCCTGTAACCCTAACGCTAACCCTCCCTGTAACCCTAACACTAACCCTACTAGTAATCCTAATAATAACCCTCCCTGTAACCCTAACGCTAACCCTCCCTGTAACCCTAACACTAACCCTACTAGTAATCCTAATAATAACCCTCCCTGTAACCCTAACACTAACCCTACTAGTAATCCTAATAATAACCCTCCCTGTAACCCTAACACTAACCCTACTAGTAACCCTAATACTAACCCTCCCTGTAACCCTAACACTAACCATCCCTGTAACCTAACACTAACTCTACTAGTAGCCCTAATACTAACCCTTCCAATAACCATCATGTAACCCTAATACTAGCCCTCCCTGTAACCCCAACACTAGCCCTCCTTGTAACCACTAACCCTCTGGGTAACTCCCCCCCAGAAACACTTACAGAAACTCTCCTTCCAATTTAACATTGCATAATAAGAACTACTGAGTGCTCTCTTAGTACCAACATTACCAAATCCCACACATGGCATATTGTGGGCTCCCTTGGATTTCATGGGCTCCTGCAGCTAAGTGTCTATTAAAGTTGTCTCCAAACTGTGGCCCAGTGGCTGGATATGGCCATTTGCTTGCCTTTATCTGGCCCTTGGGGCACTATTTTTCCCACTGACACCAACAATGGGGTGCTATCTCTTCTACTGACACCAGTGTAGGGGCACTATTCCTCCTATTGACTCCAACAATGGGTCACTATTCTTCCCATTGACACCAATGTTGAGGCACTGTTCCTCCCATTGAGATGAACAATGGGGCGCTATTCCTCCCACCGATACCAACAATGGAGTACTATTCCTCCCACTGATGCCAACAATGGAGCACTATTCCTCCCAGTGATACCAACAATGGAGCACTATTCCTCCCACTGATACCAACAATGGGGCACTATTCCTCCCACTGATGTCAACAATGGGGCACTATTCCTCCCACTGACACCAACAATGGGGTACTATTCCTCCCACTGACACCAACAATGGAGAACTATTACTCCCATTGATACCAACAATGGGGCAGTATTCCTCCCTCTAAAGATGGGGCACCATCCTTCCCATTGGCATCAATGATGGAGCATCATTTCTCCCACTAACAAAATTTATGTAACACTATTTCTCCTACTGAGCACAGGTGCTATATACTGTATTTTCTTACACTCGCCACCAAGCCGGAGGCATTGTTTACTGGCCACAGTCCACCCCCTCTAAAATCTGAAGGACAATAAACTGGCCCTTTGTGTAGAAAGTTTGGAGACCCCTGGGCCTATTCTACCTCACATGTACATGATCCATCCCAAGGATCGAAAGGAACCCCAAATAATAACACAGGACTTTTAAAGGCAACTTCCTAGGGGACTGAGGTAAAATACAAAAGATCATGTAGTTTAAGTTTCACTCACAAGAGCCAGTAAGTTGCCAAAATCCCAAATATATACAAAGATCGAAAGGAACTCCCTATAATAATAAGGAAAGTTCATAGAACTTTATTCCAACATCATAAAATCATACAAGTCAACGAGATCATATAAAAAGCAAGTCATAACAGCTAAATCTTCAAAAGCAAAGAACATGAACTTGATGTTTGTAGAGCATCCTCTTCCTCCCACTAGAGCTTCTTTTTATATGATCTCGTTGACTTGGATGGTTTTATGATGTTGGAATAAAGTTCTATGAATTTGCCTTAAAAGTCCCGTATTATTATAGGGAGTTCATTTTGATCCTTGTATATATTTGGGATGTTGGCAACTTACTGGCTCTTGTGAGTGAAACTTCAACTGCATGATCCACCCCCAGGTCCTAAAACACTAGGCTTCTTTGTAGAAACAATAACAGTAAAATAAAAGTTCCTAAAAACTTTTGTCTGTATTGTTACACGGATGTAATTGCTGTGTATTTCCTAAGCCTTGCACACACGATGATAATATCGGATGAATGATTATCCGTTTATTTTTGCATGCTAGTTTCATAAAAATTTTTACTAAATTTTAGAAAATTACAAAAATTCATGTAAGACAGAATACAACTTCCCTGGATGATGTAATAAATTGTATTGTAATGTATTCTTTTGTTTCCGAGCATGCGTGGTCTTGGTCATTGATTTTTTACATACAAATACTGTGCTGAAGATCGCAATACACACATACAGTGGGGCAAAAAAGTATTTAGTCAGCCACCAATTGTGCAAGTTCTCCCACTTAAAAAGATGAGAGAGGCCTGTAATTGGCATCATAGGGAGACCTCAACTATGAGAGACAAAATGAGAAAACAAATCCAGACAATCACATTGGCTGATTTGGAAAGAATTTCTTTGCAAATTATGGTGGAAAATAAGTATTTGGTCACCTACAAAACAAGCAAGATTTCTGGCTCTCACAGACCTGTACCTTCTTCTTTAAGAGGCTCCTCTGTCCTGCACTCATTACCTGTATCAATGGCACCTGTTTGAACTTGTTATCAGTATAAAAGACACCTGTCCACAACCTCAAACAGTCACACTCCAAACTCCACTATGGTGAAGACCCAAGAGCTGTCGAAGGACACCAGAAACAAAATTGTAGACCTGCACAAGGCTGGGAAGACTGAATCTTCAATAAGCAAGCAGCTTGGTGTGAACAAATCAACTGTGGGAGCAATAATTAGAAAATGGAAGACATACAAGACCACTGATAATCTCCCATGATCTGGGGCTCCACGCAAGATCTCACCCCGTGGGGTCAAAATGATCACAAGAACGGTGAGCAAAAATCCTAGGACCACACGGGGGGACCTAGTGAATGACCTACAGAGAGCTGGGACCAACGTAACAAAGGCTACCATCAGTAACACACTACGCCGCCAGGGACTCAGATCCTGCAGTGCCAGACGTGTCCCCCTGCTTAAGCCAGTACATGTCTGGGCTCGTCTGAAGTTTGCTAGAGAGCATTTGGATGATCCAGAAGAGGATTGGGAGAATGTCATATGGTCAGATGAAACCAAAATAGAACTGTTTGGTAGAAACACAACTCGTCGTGTTTGGAGGAGAGAGAATGCTGAGTTGCATCCAAAGAACACCATACCTACTGTGAAGCATGGGGGTGGAAACATCATGCTTTGGGGCTGTTTCTCCGCAACGGGACCAGGACGACTGATCCATGTACAGGTCAGAATGAATGGGGCCATGTATCGTGAGATTTTGAGTGCAAACCTCCTTCCATCAGCAAGGGCATTGAAGATGAAACGTGGCTGGGTCTTCCAACATGACAATGATCCCAAACATACCGCCCGGGCAACGAAGGAGTGGCTTCGTAAGAAGCATTTCAAGGTCCTGGAGTGGCCTAGCCAGTCTCCAGATCTCAACCCCATAGAAAACCTTTGGAGGGAGTTGAAAGTCCGTGTTGCCCAGCGACAGCCCCAAAACATCTAAATAGTATGGGATCCTCCTGCGCTCATGGGAATAACTGACACAATACAGCTGCTGTCACTTTAACTAATACCAATAAGTGCAAGAAATAAACATAAAATTAGTGAAGCGCTTGTATCTCATGAATACAATCATGTGTCTCCATAAAGTATAATAGTAAATCAAAGTGACCACGATATATATTAAAAATATGTGAACTCCCTCTAGTGGATAGAAAAAATAATGTCAACCGAAATAACTATAATGGCTAAATATCACACATTAAGAACCTAAATATGTAGTGCATAAATCAGATATACTAAACAAAGTATATATACATGAAAACAGAATAATTGGCCACATACAATGGTGTCTAAATCAAACATAACTAATATATGCCATAAGTGAAAAAGACAATATCAAAGGTGAAAAAATATTCCATGCATGTGACTGTGCTTTAAGCTGGAACACACACGTGATCTCCACTTCTAAGTGCAAGTACTCTCCTTCAAATGGCAGCAATGCCTGCTCACCTCCCTTCCTCGACCCACACAGGGCCTCAAAGCAGTTACCACCTCAGTGGTGTATTCCTCTGGCAGACTCCTTAATCCTCCTCCTCTCTTATGCAACTCATAAAAAGAC